TTTTTTTCCTTTTTTTTTTTTTTTTTTTTTTTTTTATAAAATTACTGACATTAAAACAAACCCCATAAATATTTTTGTGTGGTTTAAAAAAAAATGAACTAAACGAAGATTATCACTGAGAACACTGACAACGCTCTACATACATATTTATTAGATATGGATCTATTGCGGTTAATGATTATGCAGTTTCAATACAGATTTGTTTTCCTTTTTTTCCTTTCTACCACTACTCAGTCGACAAAGCTACTTTACTAGTTTTTTTATGAGAAGAAAGAAAGAGTGGAAGAAGCCTAAATTACGCAAAAACTCTGGCTCAATGAGTGCCCATGTTCTTCTTCTGTTTGGCTAGAAGCATCAATTCAAAATTTTGAACCAAAATGCCATATATGTATATATGATTTATAGCTTAGAAACTCCTAGTAACATTAACATATCGCAGTGCTCTCTGTTGGAGCCAAAAAAAGACGAGGAAGAAGAAGAAAAAAGCGGAATTTTTTTTAAACGCTCTTGTTTCCTGTGTTCCAATTCTTTGTGCCGACTGAATCCCCTTCTCTTTCTATTCTTAGTTGTCTTCATCCGTATCGGTTTCTTTCAAGCCCATTTATACACATCTATGTAGTTGTACATTTTTTGTCGAAATTTAGTTACGGATTTCTGATACCAACATCCCTAAATCACTTTGTACCGAAAATGTAAAAAAAGGAGGAAGAATACTAAGAAAAGGAAATTTCGATGAGGACGAGAAGTAAAACTGCGGAATCAGATTTAGTGGAAACAAAAATTTTTTTCAATTTTTTTCAATTTTTTTTTTTTTTTTGACTCCTTAATGTAGTTGGACTGGCGAAAAAATGAAGATACTACCATTGCTGTTGGTATCGTTTAATGTGATAACAAAATTCTGTCTAAAGTAGCATTATACTTATGTAAAAAGACGTATTCTTATTTTAATATGCTGCAAAAAATTTTATCACGTTTAATATATCTGCACGAAAAACAAAAAAAAAAAAGAACGGCGTCAGATGAAGGAAAGCTGTCAGAAAAGATTACATAATGTCAAAGTCAGCTTGAAAAAATAAAGTGTAGAAAAACTGGCAACAACCCAAAAAGGAAGGAGTAAATCTGAATTTATTGCTGTGCGTCCAATAATTCCTTTATCAGCAAACAAAACGACAGCACCACTAATTTTAAAGTTTACATATGGCAGTTAGTTAAACAGACGGAACAGTAATTTTTTTATCTGTTTCAAATACTTTTTTTCTGAAACTATTTACTTATTCTCCTCCCTTCATAGTTTTAGAGCGGTTCACTGTTACTGCCTTTTGGTAAAGTAACCAGATTTGCTGTACAGTGATATCAGGGCACAAAAAGGTAACCGAAATAAATTTTAAAAGTTGATGAGGATAAAGTAAAGAAAAAAAAAGAAAGAGAAGAAAAAACAGAAAAACGCACAAAAAAAGTAATAAATTAAAAAGATAGACATTACTGAAATCTGGAAAACAACTCACTCGGGAATAACTCCTCCCAATCCAGCCAGTTATTCGAGAAGAGAGCAAAAAATAAAAGGGAAAGAAGAAAGGATAAAGGATAAAACAACAGGACATTCTTCTTTTCTCTTCTTTTTACTTTTCTTTTTTTTGAAAAGGACACTGAATAATAAAACTGTTCAAAAAATTTCACAGCTATACACAGCTTTGTTCTTCAATTGTCGCATGCTTTCAAGTATATAATTAAATGATTTATAGGCATTTCCTTCCATATTAAAAACTTTTAACTGCTGTTCCTCTTTCCCTTTTTTTTTTTCAGCCCATCTTAGTATAACTTATTTTTTTTCCACCCACTCCCACATTTTTCCTGGGTTTTCCTTGCAGTGTTGAAATATGGAAGGACTTAGATGCAGGTTCAAATCACCTTCACTTGCAGTTTGATTTTCTTCTTCCACTCCATCCATCTAAACTGATACAGAACAGACGGTATCATTACGCCTCGATTATGCACCTAAAGTTACGATTTTTAAGAGCTGCACCTTTAGAGCAGTACAAATTAAACTCGAAACGCAAGAAAAACCAACAGTCAAAATAAGAACGAAAAAAAGAAGACTGCCTCATATAAATGATTCAATTACCTTAACAGAATTTCACAATAATACAAAACAGACCTTAAACTTGAAGTAGCTGTTAGGCGATCATGTAAAGATGTATAGATCTAACTAATACTTTTTTAGATAACAAATTGTTTAACTTATTTGAATTTTTAAATAAGGAAGGTCGATAAAATGTAACTTAAAATTATTCAAGATTAAAATCTTCTCACTGTTTTCCTTTATTTTTTTTATTTGTTCAGCCTTTTTCGCCTCTAAGTAAGTATATCATTTTTACAACATTACTGGCATACGTTAAGAATTAGATGCAACACACTGTTAAGAATATTATAAACATTATTTACATTACACATAATAGCAACATTTAAACCAGTGCGGTCCTCGATATTCTGCTGCACTTTTGTTCTCTTGCAGCCAAAAAGCGCTGAGCGCGCACGTCTCAGGAAGCGCAAAAAAAATTTTAAAAAATTACAGTACATTTTTTTAGTGTCAAAAGAGCGCAAAAGATTTTTTCTCAGGTACTGGTAGTCTCCTAAAACAAATAAATGATGGCTAATAGGAAAGCAAGAAGAGGAAAATTGAAGCCAAAAAAATAAGCGATGAGTCAGTATAAAGTTGTCAAAAATTTACTATACTCCAGCACTGTAGTTGCTTCCAAGGATGCGCGAAAATGATCTTTATGCAGAATAGTTTTTTTGTTCACTCCATTTTTACTTTAAGAACCGCAAACAGGACGAGTTCAAGCAAAAAAAAATTGCAGCACCAAGAAAAAATAGGAAATGGAGAACAATATGTTTAGAATGGCTCGATTTGGGCTATTACCGATATATATCACATTTTGAATTACCCTCACGAAAAATTATGTACTTTGATTTGTACTCCGCTTTTTTCAATTCACCAGCGTTGCAATTCAATTGGAATATTAAAATGAGACAGACATCTTTTTCTAGGGATTTTTAAGGTATTTCTTTTCTCTTTCTTTTTCTTATTCTTTTCTCTTCCCAAGTGTCTGCAATTTCTTATCTCAATCAAGGAAACAGCGCATACCATCTAATAGTAAACCACGATAAGCAAAGGAAAAAATTTTCTTCTATAGAAATAAACAGCGATTAATACTGAAAGATATGCTAGTCAAACTTTATCTTACCTCCCATTACTTCTTTTTTTTTTTTGCGAGAAAAATCGCAATTTTGTCATACGACAATCTGTTGTCGTTGACGTTGTTGTTGTTGTTGTTGCAATTGTCCTTGTTCCTGTTCTAGTTGCTGTCGGTTTTTATTAACATCATTTTCTATTAAAACATGCACTAAATGCAGAAACCGTGTATAATTTTGATCACCAAAGGTAAATTTATTTCACAAAAAAAAAAATACTTAGAAAAGAAAAGAATGAATGGGCAAAAGAAATTGAGCTAAAAACTGATGCTAGTATTTGTTGATAGTAGCGGTGGTGGTAATAGTGATGATGGTGATGGTAATCCAAATAATTTTCTTTTCAACGCTGTATAATAGTTAGAATTTTTTCAAGAACTTTTAGTGAATTGTTCTTTTTCACAAGTCTTTGACAGCTTATTTTCAACCTTAGAATAATTTTTCACTTTATTAGGTCATTCAATCTGTGATCAGCTTTTTTTTTTAATGTTTATTCGGGTGACCAGAAAAAAAAAAGCAACATTAACAATGAAAAAAACATTGTTGAAAGAAATGTTTTGTTTTTTCAAGCCGTTTTTTATGTTAACAGTATTTTTAGTCACATTTAGAATGATATACTGCTTTATTTGTTGATTTATCAAGTAGCTGTTGTCATAATTATCAGAAGTTTCGTAAACAACAAAGAGCAAGAAAATGGCTTAGTTTTAAATGATTAGATATGCTGAGAAATTTTTTAAGAAGAAAATGACCACATATATTTAAATATTATATTTATTTAATTTATAGCGTTAGAGCCGAGCATCAAAAAAGCAAGAAAAAACATTAATTTTTTTAACAGTTGCAATTTTTTAACTAAATACATGCATACAAATTCTTTTTCTCTCAACCATTCGAGATTAATGATTGTTATTTTCCCCTCCTTTTTTAGCTTCTCTTTGCTTCCTGAACAAAATGTGGTCTAAAATCCTTTCTCCAGAAATAAGAACAGAAAAATAATAAATGAATAAATAAATTAAACATATAAACAAATAAACAAACAAGCAAGTAAATAAACAAAGAAATAATTAGTTACAAATATAAACAGAGGGGAAGAATTTATATTTGTTGGTCACTTTTAACAAATGAGAAGTCAGTGATGACGATAATGA